GCTGCTCGGGAACTGGCTGGGCATCGGTTGGCAGATGGTAAGCAATTGCGTCATGCATCACTTATTTTGTATATTCTTTTATCGTTGTTTTTGTTGTTGTTGTTATTATTATTATTTTCCCTTCCTTTTCTGTCCTATTAAGCTGTCTTTATTTCAACCCATGAATCTTACGTTTTTTTGTTCCCGATTCTCTCCCCGATCTCACAGTGGCGGGGGTGCAATGAGTGAACAGCTGTGTGGTGTTTAGCTGCCTGACAGGTTAAACCACGACAACAAGACGTGATACAGAAGTCATAGACTTGCGCTAGTCCCATTCTCAGCAAGATCGTGTTCAGGGTGTTAAGTATGAGCATCACTGACCGGCTCAGAGGAAATCATTTCAGAGTCTAACCTCCCCACTCCTGTTTATTTAGGGTGACCATTTCATGGACCTCTTGCAATGAACCAGCCAGTATCTCTGGACTGGCAGGGCAGTAAGTGGGAGAACCCTCACCTTGTAGAACGTGGGAAGGTCAAATTCCTCCAGAACTCTGTCCACCTCTGAGACCAGCTCCAGCAGCTGGAAATGCCCAGCGGAGACCTCCAAGCCAATAAAGGTCCTAAAGAAAGACAAGGAGAGACAGCAAGCACCCTTTCATGCTGCAGAAAGCAGAACACAAGTATACTTAGCCCTTCATTCCTACCAGGCAAATTCCCTACCCCCTAACAAAAGATAATTTGAGGAATGCCAGGTTTAAGCATTGAAGGATGCGGGCCATATTCTCAAGAAAAACAGAAGTGAAGACATGGTAGCAGGGAGAAGAAGGACCGGATGATATAGCACGTAGATTTACTAGATTAACTCAGCACCTTTTGGGACATGAAAACTCGTTTTCCAGGCAAAGGATGCACTCAATGGGTACATCAGCAGAGTGCCATGCCGTGCAGGAGCTGCATTCAAGAAGCGGAAGTTGCCGTAGGGGTTTTACGGTGGGAGAGGAAGTGGGGAACAGGAAGTACCAAGCTGGAGAGACGTGACAAAGAGGTACCTCCTCAAGGAGTATCTGGATGATGCTTTCTAGACTCCAGGAGGGGAGGGGAAGACTAAGTCTCACCCAGAATTCACTTCATCCCACCCATGACGATCAAAAAAAAACCAGCGCGATCGTGGGCTGCCAGTCCTGCTAGATTCAGCAACTTTTCACAATTTTAATCACCTTTGTTTTGACATTTAAACTACTTAATTGCATTCAGTTGGAATCAGGCTTCCGAGCTGACGCCCACGAGAATTAGCACCATTGAAGCTATTTCTCCCCAGCTCTTGGAAGACCTGCACTACAATTTCATGACCGGCACTGCTGCCAAAAGAGGTGGCCCCCGGCTCTGCTCGCCCCAGGCTGCTCACGCTGGTGTGAGGGTTCGCGAAACCACAAAACCGACCAGATGGGAGATGGCAGTGAACACAGCTGCCTCCTTTAGCTGCTGTGAAACCATAGCATGAATCTAACCCCAGCAGAAAGGCCTGCCTCAGGTCATGTTATGAACAGATCTCTTCAGAAGACTGAAACCCTGCAGCCTGAGGTTCACCCATCACTAACAAGAGCAATGGCTTGCAGAGAATCAGCGCTGAAGCTAAAAATTTGTGAAAGTGGCAGGGAAAGGTGTGAAACCTCTGGAGACAAGGTGATCGCATACTGCCCCATCACATGGCTCAGCCCCGTCACGGGCACAGGGTGGGTGACACTTCCCATCCACCTAGCACCCTGCCCAGCCTTCTCCCAGGCAGGCAGGCTGCCCTGCTGCTCGCTCACCTGGTTTTGTTCTGGTTGGTGTAAACCTTCACTTGGTCAGCCACACAGAAGAACCTGAAATAAGAAAGATCCTATTTTAGCTAGTGGGAAAAAAGAAAAGAAAGAAGATGGGGAGGAGACAGGATTTCTACCGAGCTGTGGAAAGATAAAGGCAAATGCATGCTGCAACTGGACTAAACTGGTACAACCAGAACCTTTCTGGACTCAAATTAATCCATTCCCCCCTGGTTTCCAGCCCTCTGAAGCCCGGTCAGCGACAGAAGTCCTGAAGCAGCTCATGCTCAGCAGGCACCTGAGCCAGATGTAAGCGATGAAACCATCTGTGGTTTACAGGATGGCACAGCTCTGGCCTCATCCTTGAAACCCAAGACCTGACTTGTCTGGTGCCAGATCCCAAGGCAGAGAGGAAAACTCCCCAGGGCTTTACTGGTGCAGCACCGGCTCCCAGAGATGACTTAGGGTGCCGGTGCTGGTGAAACACAGACCCTGAGGAAGCATGAAGGGTGTGAGGAGTGCTGTCGTCCCTACCTGTCGAAGGAGGCCAGGCGCTCCTTGAGGGAGCGGACGAAGGGGTCTATCCAGTGGTAGCGCAGCACCACACACTGTGAGAGGCTGAGGTGGAACTCCTCCATGGCAGCCAGCGAGGAGACATAGGTGCGAGCGCGGGAGACCAGGAGCTCCAGCAGCTCCAGGAATTCCTCCTGGACTCTGTCTGCGGGGCAGCGTGGTCAGAGCCAGGCCGCTCCCCGGAGCGCCGGCCGCGGATCCCCACCGGGGACAGGCGGGTCCCACGGGTCTCCCATCCCCGCCGTGCATCGGATGACCCCGGGGGCTCGTCGGGACTCACCCGGCTGGGCTCCGTCCCGGCCTCCCCTCCCGGTCCCCTCCCGGGCAGCCGTTACCTACAGGGCAGGTAGACGGGGGGGGCCCAG